TGGACTGGGAATGTCTGAGCCACCATGGAGGGATGGAATGGTTGGACTGGGAATGTCTGAGCCACCATGGAGGGATGGACTGGCTGGACTGGGAATGTCTGAGGCACAGCCTGTTCATGTCACCTGGCCAAGTCCGGCTCTCCAGAGCCCTGGATCTCCTGCCCATCAGAAGATCCACCTGTACCCACTTCCCGCAGCGTTTCCCTCCCCTTTTTTGGGAAGGGGTTGGTCCCCCCCTCTAAAGACCCCAGGATGTGTGTGGTGCCTGAAGCCATTCCTCCTTCCAGCCCTTCCTGAGCTCACAGGAAGGAAGGAGAGAAGGAAAAAAAGCTCCCAACACTTCGGAATTCGATCCCATTCCGTTCCTTGGACAACATTTTTCCTCCTACGGGTTTGGGAGCCCATCCCAGAAAACCCAACCCCCTTGGAGGGGGTCAGAAAAGCTTGGAATGGGGGTTTTTCCCCCTCTGGACACAACACCCAGGACGTACCTTTGGGCCTGGGGGGCCTCTTTCCCCTCTCAATCCGTCCTTGCCGGGATCCCCCTGGAAGGAGCAGGAATGTGTGTTAGTTCTTTGTCCCTTCTAAAATTCCCGGTGGTGATGATGCTGGAATGGATTCCCACTGGATGAGGAATCCATTCCTCATCCATTCCAGCATTCCTTGTGTCCTGGTCCGTGCTGGCCCCAAATTAACACCATCTTTTCCAGGTGGACCAGGAGCTTTTCCCTGGATCTTGCTCATTCCCATTTTTCCATTAACTCTTCACTCGACCTACAGCTCATATTCCCGAGAATTTTCCCGCTTTTCCTTTCTCCTCCTCGGATTAATAATGGAATTCCCAACCCAACTCTGCCTCCACTTCCTTGTAATCCCAGCCTGGCTGATGGAACAACATCGTTTCCTTGGAAAAGCCGGGCCTGGGAGCTTTAAGTGGGGTTTGGGAGATTCCAGACCCACATTCCTTGGAAGCTCTTTGTCTTCCACAAACTGGAGTTATCCCAGCATTCCAAGTCATCTTATTCCCTGTTTTCCCAAAGCAGTCAGGGAAATGGAGCGTGGGATGGATCCCTCTGGTTCCTGGGCTGAAAATCCCTCAAGTTTTTCCCTGCAGGAATGTGAAGTTTGGAAGGAAAACTTCACCTTGTCCCACCCATCATCCAAAAACGATGCACTGGGAGGATTTTTGTGGTTGGAAGTGGGAATTTTCTTTGGGGAATCAGGAGGTTTAGACTGTTCTGGGGATCTTTGACTCATAAAAGGAGTGAAAATACAGGAGATGTGAAAAATAATCCCACATGGAGCTTCCAACCCTCGGAAGAGCTCAAGGTCTTACCTTGTCTCCTTTCAGGATGTTCTCCAGGGAAGTTATCTGGGAAAAAAAAAAAACAGGGAAAAATCTGTTTTTCAGGGAACAGGAAGTGCTTGGATTCCTCATTTCCCACTGCTAAACATTCCAGAGCTCAAGGAGTGCGGGATAAACAAGAGACAAGAGTGCAAATAGACAAAAAAACCCTGGAACAAAAAGCTCTTCCCAGTTTTTCAGGGAACAGGAGGTGCTTGGATTCCCTGTGTCCTGCTCCCAATTATTCAAGAGCTCAAGAAGTGTGGGATAAACAAAAGACAAGAGATCAAATAGACAAAAAAATCCAAAAAATGGAGCTGAGATAAAAAATTTGTGTGGTTTCCAACAGCAGGTTGGGAGGTCTGGGAGAAAAGACCTGGAATACGGGAAGAGAGGCACCACCAGAAGCTTTTCCATGGATTCCCCATGTCCCACTCCCAAACATTCCAGAGCTCAAGTAGAGAGGGATAAACAAGAGAACAGGAGCCCAAATAGACAAAAAAAACCCTGGAACAAAAAGCTCTTCCCAGTTTTTCAGGGAACAGGAGGTGCTTGGATTCTTCATGTCCCATTCCCAAACATTCCAGAGCTCAAGGAGTGTGGGATAAACAAGAGAACAGGAGCCCAAATAGACAAAAAAACCTCTGGAACAAAAAGCTCTTCCCAGTTTTTCAGGGAACAGGAGGTGCTTGGATTCCCTGTGTCCTGCTCCCAAACATTCCAGAGCTCAAGGAGTGTGGGATAAACAAGAGAACAGGAGCCCAAATAGACAAAAAAACCCTGGAACAAAAAGCTCTTCCCAGTTTTTCAGGGAGCAGGAGGTGCTTGGATTCTTCATGTCCCGCTCCCAAATATTCCAGAGCTCAGGTGGAATGGGATAAACAAGAGACAAGAGATCAAATAGGCAAAAAAATCCCCAAAAATGGGGCTGAGATCCAAAAATCAGCAGAAATGGGTGGAACTCACCACGCTTCCAGGAATTCCAGGCAGTCCAGGCTCCCCCTGTGGAGACACACCATCCCCCAAAAAAACAGGGAGAGGAGAAATTCAACGTTTTATCCCTTAAATTAACTCTCCCTCAGGCAAAAATCTTAATGGGAAGGGGCAAACCTATGGATTCTTCCTTGTCTCCTGGAATTCCCTGGGAATGGGAGGGAGAAGCAGGATAAGAAGGAGCTGTGGGAAGGGATCTCAGGATCTGATGGATGAACGATGAGCTCGGGAAATCTGGATTTCCCTGGATTTCCCCTGCCTGGGAATCCTCTGAGATTTCATTAGGAATGAGCTCATTATCCTCATTTTCCTGCTCCTCAGGGATTGGGCTCTTTAGGGAATTTCCTCACAGAGTTTTTGGGAACACCAAGCATTGGAAACCCTGACAATGAATCCGGTCCGGGCCAGTGTTTTCCAAAGGTTTTAGAGCTT